TGTCAGCCCACTGCCTTCTGACCTCTATGGTTTCCTCTGAGAAGTCAGCTGTTAATCTTACTGAGGATCCTTGTATAGGAGTCTTTGTCTCTTTGTCTCATTTTGCTTTCAAGATTCTCTCTGTTGGTCAGGCACAGTGGGTCACACCTGCAATCCCAGCACTTTGTGGGGGCAAGTAATCTCTGTTGCTCTATCTTCAAGTTTGCTTATTCTTTCTTCTGTCTGTTCAAATCTAATATTGCAGCCCTTTAGTGAATTTTTATTTTAATTATTATACATTTTAACCTCAGAATTTCTATTTGGTCCTTTTCAAATATGTTTTCTCTTTCTATTTATTTGGTAACACATTGTTGTCCGACTTTTCCTTAATTCTTTAATTATGCTATCCTCTAGTTCTTTGAATGTATTTGCAATACCTGATTTAAAGTTTACCTATCTAAGTCGCTGATTTAAAGCTTTCCTAAATCCATTCAGGTATAGTGGCTCACACTTATAATCCCCCAACACTTGGGAAGTTGAGGTGGGAGAATTGCTTGAGTCCAGAAGTTTGAAACCAGTCTGGCAACATAGTGAGGTTTTTGTCTCTGCAAAAGACAATTATTCCAAATACAAAAATACAAAAAATATTAAATAATAATAAAAATGCAAATAATATTGAAATAATGTTAATAATATCAATATAGTTTTAATATAATAATATTGATATAAAAACAGTATTTAAAAATACAAAAATTAACCTGAAGTGATGGTGCATGCCTGTAGTCCCAGCTAAAGGATGGCTTGAGCCCGGAAGATTGAGGCTGTAGTGAGCCAGGATCACATCACTGCACTCCAGCTAGAGCAACATATTGAGACCTTGTCTCTGAATGAATGAATAAATAAATAAATAAATAGTTTTCCTAAATCCATTATCTGGGCACCCTCAGGGCCAATTTCTTTTGATTATTTTGTTTTCTGTATATAGGCTGCACTTCCCTATTTCTTTGGAAATCTCCTAATATTTGTTGAAAACTAGAAAATATATGTCTAATGTATTTTAATGCCTGTGAAATCTGGTCACCTTCCCCCACTGTTTATTGTTATTGTGCTTTCTGTTGTTGACAGCAGTTTTTGTTTGTTTGTTTAATGACTTTCTTGGACCAGTTTGCTAGTGTTTTCATTCTTGTACTGAAGTGTGTGTTTAATTCTTGGGTTCATTTGTAGTCCTGGCTTCCTAGGGATCACTCTTACATTGGCATATATTAGTAGTCAGTCAAAGATTGGTCACAATATTTCTTTGAGTGCCTTATGGTAGTAAGTTTCCCACCCTTTTTCATGGGATTCTGCATGTGCTTTGGAGTACATCTTCAGTCTTTAAAGTTCAGACAGGTTAAAAGTCGTCCTGGTCTTTCACTTCCTATTTTCACAAGGTTTCAAGGTCAGCCAAGAATGGGTAAATATCTAGGACTTCTCTGCTCTTTCTTGATGGTTCACAGGCCCCCACATGCACACATGGGCTTTTAGATCTTCAGGAGCATGTCAGAGATTTCTACAGCCTACTAGATCTGATTTCTTAGATCTTCCTTTTACATATTTAGTTGCAACTGGTATTACTGCCTTGGGGAGCTGCAATGTTCACCTTCCCTGACTGGTGCCAGTTGCCATCCTCTAATCACTGTCCTGGGAAGAAAATTTTCCCTTGGAGCTCCAAGTCAGGTCAAACAGCGACAAAACCCTGTGGAAGAGGCATTTTGTAGGTGTGCAGATTGAATCATCTCCCTCTGGTGGCAGTAAGGAGATGGGACTCTCTCCAAGTTAAAATGGTATAGCTCTCACTACTGTTATGGAAGTTAGGTAATTTTTCTTCAATAAACACTTTAAAATTGTTGTGTACCTTTAATTATATTTCCAGAGTTCTGAAATGTTTGCTTTTTGAGAATCTCGCCAGTGTTTTCACTGCTATTTAGGGAAGAGGATTCACTGAGGAACACAATCCACCATTATGGAAGACTCACATCTAGAAGATAAATTTACATGCTCAAGTACCTAAAAGATCAGACTGTCACTCAAGTCTAGACAATTGTTATCATGTGAGATTTTGTTCCTAGTGTTGCAGGATAAGCTAGAAATTTACACAAATATCCAAAAATTTATTTTATTAATTCTTAAGAAAATATTTCCTTTGAGTGGGATGCAACTGCAAACTTGGAATCCCTACCTGAAGGAGTTTCACCAAATTCAGTTCACCCACTTTCTGATATTTATTCTTTCAGTCAGTTTGCATTCATAGAGCGCCTGCCATTGGCCTAGAATAATTCTGACTGGTAGGGAGACAGTGGTAGTAACATGAATAATATATCATAAATTGAACTTAAATTAGTACATTGGGTCCATTGGAGTTCACTTTAAATTTTTCTCTCTAAGGTCTTGCACTGCAAAATATAGAATCTGGTACTTGGTTTTATTTATCTTTCAATTTGAACTCAGAAAAGCTAAATAAATTTATTTTTTCAGACTATTTTTTCCTGAATAACTCTTGAAATTTTTAAATTAGGGAAATTCTGAATAGTAAATGTTTTTTGAATCACAAGTTTCCATAAAGAACCCATGCTCATTTCAAGCCTACATAGCATCTGAGTTTAGGGTTGAGATACTCTATTGAAAATGACAGTGACAAACATAATCATGCAAATCTTTGATGGAGTGAACCTTTTTGCTACTTAAAAAGCATCACCTTATATTGCTGCAACCTGGGAAGTAATTGCAGTGATCAGAGTAATTCATATTCAAGCACTCAACATGTTTGCCAAGGGCACTGATTGTCCCAGATGTGTGAATACTGTAAAAAGACACTGAAACTAACTTTTAAATATTAAAAATACTGTTTTTACTGGGCAAACTGTGGCATTTCCAATTTTCCAAAGAAAAGATTCGTTTGGATTTGAAGCTAGTTCCCACAGAGAAGGCTAATGTTGATTGAAGACTCTGTCATAGTCAGTTATGCTTTCCCTTTGAGGCAGAACCCTCCCGATACAGTCACCATAATCATTCACGACGGTGCTCTGGAAGGAGCAATCACATCGAGACACTTGACTCCAGTCAGTCAGTGCTTCTGTCTCGCCCTCTCTCTGATGGAGATGGGAGGAGTGCTACCCTAATGTAGGTCCATTCCATCAAGACAGGTTTTTAAAATCACAGAAGCACAGATTTTATTTAAGAAGAGGCAGACTTAAAGGTCATACTCTCAGTGCAGAAAAAAAAATTCTCTAGAGCATTTTTAGTCGATAATCTTTCAACCAGGGCTTCAAGCAAGATTTTCCATTTTAGGTTACACTTTTTCTCTAAATCAAGTTGCATCTGGAAGCAATTGCTTGGTGTTGAGAATACAGAGTTAGAAACTATAAAAACTGAAATCTAGGCCTGCATCTTCTCCTAACTTGTGATAAGGTTTTGAGTCAATGGATTTACCTCTTTGGGTTTTGGTACTCCTACTTTTAAAATAGATGTTACTCATATACTGTTCCTATTTCCCATAACTTGCCTCATGAGAGACATAAGGCATTATTTCTAAGGCATTAACATCCATGACTAATAGATGAGAAGACCTACAATCTCCTTGTTAGTCTTCAGTAGAAGATGTTGGCTGTGCTGTTTTAGCTTTGATAGTTGCTCCAGAAGCATTTGAACCAAGTTATTGGATACAGGCACACACTTTTAGGCCAGCGTTAGTCAAGGGTTGCCCCGGATAGCCCTTAGACTCCTGAGAAAGTAGGGAGGTCATACTGGTTACTGACTTAGAACATTTTCTCTTTCTATTTTTTAGTATCTGTGGTGATGTCAAAAGAGATATATTGAAATATCGTGGTTTGAAAAGTAGGGCACTGTAATTTACAATTATTTTCAGAAATTTTTATTTCTTGCCTTGTTATCATTTTTCCCAAGGTGATTTTTATTATGTTCTCATTAAAGATAAACACTAAAATATAATACAAAATCAGAGAGTGAAAAATGAATGTGATCCTTCTTACTACATATTCATCGGATGTAAGCTTCAGCAGCACGCAAATGCAATAGGCATGTTTTCAAACTGAAGTGCATTGCGGGTTTTCTGTAACAAAGGCTAGAACTTGTCAAGAAAATTACTGCAACCTGATGTGGAAGACATCGTTTTCTGTTAGGATTGTGATGTTCAAAGTGGGTGTTTATGAATGTAGCCATTTGGATATAACATTTAGCATATTTTTCTGAAAACCACAGTGCAAAGCTAAACTGTAAAGACTATATAAAAGAAAGGTAACTAAACAGTAAATGGAAACAGAAGCTTCATTTTGAGACTCAGGCTCATCTTTGTTTTGGTGGGTTTTATGCCATGGTGTAAGAGAAAGCACATACGTTATTCTACAAATATACCAGCATTTTTAATAGGGAAATACTTCCTGTGTGAGTATTAAAAGTACCTTTCTGAGGACTTTTACCTTCCCATTTATGTGGTCCTGAACCAGTTACAAAGATGCAATAGAGCCTTTGCGTATACAAAGAACCAGGATAGTCACCCTGCCCTCAGCAGACACCCATCCTGATACACAATCACGGCAGACTCTATCAGACAGAGGACCCAGGGGCACTGCCCCACTGACATATATGTGGTAAGAAACAATATCTGGTTTTACCTGTTTACCTTCACTGTGGCTTAAATGAGTTCTTTCTCCAAGGGTTACTCTACAGAATTAGATTGGACCAGAGGGAAGCCACCAAAGAAGAGTTTTGTTTTCCAATAAATTTCATGATGAGCTCCTTTTATGTCATTTTCAGGAAATTATTAAAACAAAATATAAATTTTGTCTCAGTCTGTAACCCAGACTGGAGTGCAATGGTGCAACCAGAACTCACTACAGCCTCTTGATCTCCCAAACTCAAGCGATCCCCCTGCCTTGGGCTCCCTAAGTGCTTGGGATTACAGACATGAGATACTGTGTCTGGCCCCAAATATGAAATTGTTTTTAAGAAATGATATAAGCTCATAAAGATCAATTCATTTTTTATTTTTTAATGAACGTTTAAGATTCATATACAAAAGCTAACAGCAGTACGTCGATCATGAAGTACATACATCCAAGGAAGTAAAATGGAAAGGAACTCAATTACAACTTCTCACCACTGAAGCACTACACGCTGGCTGCAGGGAGGGGTGAGCAATGTTTCAGAGACAGCGAACGCACGGGCCAAGAGCCCACAATGTCGCCAAACCACTTTTCATTTTGACATTTCCTTTTCCTTCCTGGTTATTGTTCAGTTAGAGGGAGTTGTGGGGTTGGGTGGGAGATAAGTTTCCTTTCAAAAAAAAACAAGAATTTTTAAGCAACTAAATTTTTCCCTAGGGTAATATTTCATCTGGTAATCTAACATACTATATATTTGTTATTAAATTTGCATAAATGTTTGTCTATTCTATTTCTTCATGTAAGGTCATGCAGTACTTTCTTAGTTTCAGAACAGTAAGAATTATCAAAGGCAATTCATTTTGTACATAATTATCCAAGTTTCCTCATCATGAAAAATGTGCTCTTTGTGATCTCTGTTTCTTGCAATAGTTGGTCACGTAATAATCATGGAGCATTTCCTAAAATATTTATTTGCTGGGAAAATTTGTATGAAATGACATTTGAAGTATAAAAAACATTGTTAGGTAACACCTGGAGCAGTTAAAAATATACTTATCTTGTTTGTAAACTATCAGTGCAAGAGACTGAGCATCTGAGTGTCAGTCATCGTCTTCCATTTTTCTAGAAAGTTGTTTGCTTTATCAATGTGACATCTTTGAAACATCTGAAGTTACATGTAGAAACATCAAGGCAATATTATTTGTACATATTATTAAACATGCAAAAATTTTCCTGAAAGATATGCCCCAGATGCGGAGAGTCCTCCGCGCCCAAGCGCTCCTCGGTACCATGTCGCTGGAGGTATGGCTCTCGTGGAGGTTGCAAGTGCTAGGCTACTTTGAAGAGGCAGCTCCTTTGATCACCGGCTCCCTATTCAAATACGTTGCCCAGTAAACCAAGTTGAAGGTGCCAAACAAGACTGGGAATATGATCCGGGACATTTTGTCAATCTTGCTGATGCTGTTGTAAGTCTTTTTGCTTTCAGAAGTCTTCTCCTCGGTAGGTTTGACTGAGACTGAAGCCACGTTCGAGGTCCCCGCCGGGGTCTGTTCCTTTGGGATGTTTGGGGCATGGGTCATCTTCCCAGTCGTAAAAGCATTTGCTGACTTATTTAGTATAAGTTCACGCTTTTTCTGCAATATAGAATCAGAATGCAAAAACAGAGTTCTAAAGGTGCATCCCTCAGAAAAAATAAGCCTTTAAAAAAATATAGTTAAAACTATGTTGATGAAAAATACTGTTAAATTAGGAAAAAACCAAAAAGATTTTAAGCATTAGTATTTCCCTACTTTATTTTAGCTTTATCACATATACATGCTTTCAAAACAGTGTGTGTTTTAGTTTTGTTTGAAACGCTATTAAAATAGCATCATAATTTAAAAGATAAGAGATAAGAAAACACCTGTTTACCCCTGGCAGAGGGCTCTCCTCCGTGAACTTATTTTGGAATGCATCAAAAAATAAGAGAGATAGATGGGTGGATTAAACTTGGGTGCTTGGATGGATAGATGGAGAGAGGGGTGAAAGACAGATGGTGATGACAAGCATAGCTAAATGTGAATAGCAGACAGGCTATCACTGTAACATTCCTTATGCATAATAGCATTTTGGAAAAAACTCTGTTCCATTACCAAAGTGATATAGTCTCATTAAATGAAAACTGGAAAACAGGATGACAAGGAAAATATATCAGCCATTAAAAATACGGAAAAGACAGAAAGCAATATGGAAAATAGCCAAGCAGAGTGCAGGGAGACAGGGGACAGCTAGAAACAGGTCAGGGAGAGCAAGTGCCGGCAGGAGCAGGGGCACAAGGGCCACCGGGGGGCACCATGAGGAGGCTGAGGAACCATACCTCGGGAGCATGGAGGTCTGAAATCCCCACGACTGTGCTGGCCCATTAGGCACCCATTAAGTATGACCTCCTGCAGGAGGTCTCACCTCTGGGCGGAGCCAGCAAACAAGCAAGCATTCAGAAGACACTGCTCTGTCATAGCAGCGTGTGTTTTTACTGCGGAGGGATGAGCAGTTGGAGGGGACAGCCACAGTGGACAAGTCATAGACATGGGCAGGCGGCCCTGTATCCCCACCCAGGACAGACTTGCTGCCTTGCTGTGGGAAGTATGGCCAGGTGTCAGTTCTTTAGGGGCAGCCTCAGTTGCAGAAGGCTGCCTGGCCAGAGTCACACCCCTCCTGGGGAAGCCAGCCACATCTAGGGACCAGCGAGACAAGATTACAAAGTCCTGGTCATGTCCCCTGACTAGCAGCAATTCTGCCCAGGACGTCTGCTCCAGAGTTCCCTGGCGGGTGGGCCTACGCTTCACTGGGCTGGATCAACGTATTCCTCCAGAGAGTCTCACTTCTTCCTCTTTCTTTTCCAAATATAACCCCTAAGAACTGAAGTGCACCCTAAACTCTGACCCAGTGCTTATTTCTAGAGATCCCAACATAGAAGAATGGTGAACACAGTCCTTCCAACTTCCCAGGAGCAGTTTGCTGGAGTAGGTTGACATCAGGCTTGCTCACGCTCACAGTGTGTCTGCAGTGCGATGCACAACCGGATGCCCGCAGATGGTTCCCACCACAGAGCCTTCCGGCAACGGGGGTGGAATCACCAGTGCCACAGCCTTCTGGGAACAACACATGGTCCTCAGACAGACTGAGGCACACTGCCGATTCTGGATCTCTGCTAGTGTGGGATCAGATAGCACAGGTCGCCTGCATCCTTGCCCCTCCCTCCAGATGGAGCAATGAGATCGGCCACAGTGGAGGCTGAGTATGGATATGGCAGCTGCCGGTCATGGTGATGCAGTCTACAACACCAACAGCATTCCGGGTTGCTCCGTTTACCCCAGGCTTCACACTCCTCCTAGACTCACAGACACGAGCACCATGAATGCCAGGGACGCCCAGCTGCTCCCTTACTTGAGGTAGCAGCTTACAGTCCACATCATGTGACCACCTGTAGCCCAGGCAGGGAGCAGACACGTGCCTTGAAGCTGCCCAGAGCTGGGGGGTGGGAAGTCCTGCTCCCCAGACTCCATCCTCTCTCCTCTCCCCACAGCACCCTCCGTGGTGCCCTGATCTGCAGGAACACGTCCAAACACTTCTGCCAAGAACCTCCACAGCCAGAGGACACTCTGTACCTACAATGCTTCTCTGCTCTCCACCTATTGCCCAGTGCAGTCAGTCTGCTGCTTCTGTCCCACCTCCCAGGCCCCAGAACACACCCACACACGTGGCTCCTACTTGTCAACTCCTTTCCTGCTGCTTGTCCCTCCCTCCTTTCTTGAGAGGGTCCAGAATGGTTCTGGTGAGGCCTTCCTCCCCTGGGGGAGCTAGACTTGGAAGGGGAGCTTTCGTGGCTGAAACTAGAGATCAGGGGACTCCTGGCACTGGGAAGGGGTGGGGGGCAGGTGTGCAAAGTCAAGTCACAGGAGAGGGAACAGCAAGTCAAATCCCAAGAGCGGGTGCGGGCTACGGGTAATTCCCAGCTGAGTTCCCAAAGCAGAGCCAGTGCCAGAGTCCTCAGTGGAACCAGCTTGCCGCCCTGGGTGAGAGGCCAGGACATGTCATTCCAGGTCTCTTCAGTGCCTTCCAGGACTCCCGTCACTCTGGTTTTCCAGAGAACAGATGAAGATGCACACTCGGGACTGCCCTGATGGCTGTGACTGCTTCTCTCAGTATGGAGGGTCTGTTTATCTATTTTATGTGTGGTGCAATTAGCTGTTCATCACATGCTGCCTTACATTCTATGTATGTTATTCTCATCTCCCCAAGGAAATAATGTAGTCTGGCTGTTTGTATGACTTTTTTCTTCAAATGTTCCTAAGATTTAGGCACACAATTGCCCTTTAAGTACTCGATAATTAATTGCTTTGACCAGAGCTGCAATTTCCCAACAACGTACACACACAGGGTGAGGAAGCAAGTCACTCTGTGGCAGAGCTGGGTGGCAGAGGATTGTTCCCATGAGATCAGCGCCTCTTCACGAGCTGAACATTGGCCTGCAGAAGACACCGGACACACTGCCTCCTGACTGATCTAGAAACAAGCTGAAGAGTAGCTATCAGAATTAAAAACAAGGCAAATCCACCCCGAAGAGGCAGGTTTGAATATAAACAAGGCCAAGCCAGCAGACCTTTTGCTGGAATGAAGTTTGTGCTTCAAAATGAATTAGAGAAGTGACCTGTTTTAAGTAAGACTTCATAAGGACCTTGGACATAGGAGAAGGATTATTTGGGGGGGCTGGGGGGAGTAGGGAGGAGAAACACCTTGTCTTCTGCTTGATCACAGAATCAATGTGAAAGAAAGAAAGAAAAGAAACAGAGTCAGTACCTTGATCTTGGCCGCTTCCAAGGCTTTTTTGCCATCCCAGGCCCATCCTCTCTTGGTGAAGTAGTTGACCGTGGCAAACTCGATCAGCGCAGAGAAGACAAAGGCATAGCACACTGCTATGAACCAGTCCATGGCAGTCGCATAGGCCACCTTGGGCAGGGAGTTCCTGGCACTGATGCTGAGGGTCGTCATGGTCAGCACCGTGGTGACTCCTGCAGGGCCAGGCAGGGGCGGAACGGAGAAAGAAAATGGATCAGTACCGGCACCAGGGGTCCCATACCACACCCTTGAAGGTACGAGGCAAAGGCACGAAAGGAACCAGCCATTTGAATCCCAGCCTGCACCTACCTTGTTACTGTTTTTATAACCGTTAACATGTTCATAGCATTTAGAAGATGCTTATTTTATTTATCTTGTCTCTATCCTTGTAGACGATGAATGGAGAAGGGCAGTGATTTGGGTCTGTTCTGGGTCCTGGCTACCTTGAGCCAAGCCTGGAAAATGGCTGGTGCTCAACAAAGATGTGGGAATGAGGAGTGTGCATTGGTGGCACCAGAGCGAGATTCAGTGGAGAATCACATTCAGGCCATCAGTGAAATGCTTCACACAGATTCCCTACATACCTCGTAAGCAGCGGGCTCCCACAGTTAAACAAGACAGCCTCTCTTCACAAAGCTTAATCAAACCTGCAGACTTGGAAGGGCTGCGGTACAATAGAGTGCTGTATCAGAATCCCCATCTCCAAGAGGGAGTGATGTCTCCTGGAGGCTGCTGTGCAAGGTGCCAGTGGTCTCTGGAGAAGCTCAGCAGCAACTAACAGCAAGATCAGAACCCTTGGAGAAAGGCGCACCTTTAGGGCCGGCAGAGTACGGGCATCTGCTGAGTGTCTGACACTGATCTAGGCTACAGTCTTGCTGGGTAACACTAACCCCATTTTGCAGGTGGGAGCCTGAAGCTTTGAAAATATTTAGCAATGTGCCCAAACTCTCCAGCCAGTGGATGAAATGAGCTATTTCTGTCGGGATCCACGTCTGCGGGTCTCTCCCAGCCCTTGTAGCTTCCATGGGCCAACCCTGCCTATTTTCTCAAGGCAGTTTTGTCTACATGAGAGGGCACCTGTGTGGGGGAATGTGGATGTAATTCACTTGCTATCAGCCAAACTGTGTCCCCTCCCCCCATTCTTTTTTTTTTTTTGAGTTGGAGTCTCACTCTGTCGCTCAGACTGGAGTGCAGTGGCCATTCCCAGCCACCATAGCCTCGACCTGCTGGGCTCCGGCGATCCTTCCACCTCAACCTTCCGAGTAGCTGGAATTACAGTAGGCAGGCGCTACCATGCCCGGCTGATTTTTTGATTTATTGTAGAGATGAGGTCTTGCTGCCCAGGTGGGTCTCGCACCCGCAGGCTCAGGCAACCCACTCACCTCAGCCTCCCAAAGGCGCAGGATTACAGGCCGAGCCACCAAGCCCGGCTGGTGATTAATTTTAAGGCAGCATGCACATTTCAAAGAAAGCTGTCTGAGAACGTTCAGAGTAGATTTTATGAGAACTATGAAAATGCTGCAGGTTGAGTGTCTCTAATCCAAAAACTAGATACCAAGTGCTCCAAAATCCAAAACATTTTGAGCGTCAATGCGATGCCCAAAAAGAATGCTCACTGGAGCTCATTTCAGATTTTGGGGTTAGGGAGGTTCAACCCATGTAATGCAAACATTCCAAAATCCGGAAAGGTCTGAATACGAAACACTTCTGGTCCCAAGCATTTTGGATGAGGGATACTCAATCTGCATGGCGAATGTCACATAAAACAGATAGATGTTGACAATTTCAAAGCTCACAAAAAAGCTTTTAATAATGAAAAGAACTCTCAAATACATCATGTGCTAAACTCTCCTTCCGAAAGAAATCCTAAATCATAATCCTTAACATTAAATGCTTAACTAGTAGGTCAGTTTGCTTCCCAGGCTACACAGGAATTTCTGTGGTGCTTGTCATTGCTACTTTGGGTGGTGAAGGTCGGTCACAAAACACCAGTGTCCAGGCCCGGCTTTGGGACACTCACCAAAAACAGTCCTGGCTGGGACGGATTCTCGGTTCAGCCAGAAGGACACCTGGGATAAGATCACGGTCATTATGCATGGAAGATAGGTCTGGATGACGAAGTAGCCGATCTTCCTTTTCAGGTGAAAATGTGCTGTCATGATGGTATATTCACCTACACACAAGCAAATGAACAGGCATCAGACCCCAGTCTCCCAGACCTGCCAGCAGCTCCTGTGCGCTGGACGGGGGGATCACCAGGAGCCCCTTCACCCCTCTCCCACCTGGACCACCCTCTCTGCTCCCCTTCCTGCTTCACATGGATGATGCAGGTTATGGAGAGGACTGAGTCCTTTGACTCTCGGCCTCTGAGGAGCTGATGGTTGCTCTTCCTGGGGAAAATCAGATTTGTGTGTTTTACTAATCCCCAGTCACAATCTGCCTCTCTCCCACCAGCCCCCTCGCCTGCTACTGCAATCAGGATTTCAGGATTTAGCCTCCCAGCTGCAACACAGGATATCACGGTCCTGCGGTGGTGGACAGAGTACTTCCAGATTCCTTCCGAGGTTCCAGGGAAGCGGGGCAAGCACTCTGCCCAGGTGGCAGGCCCTGTGCTGTCCCCGTCCCGGTTGGAGCATGAAGACTGGCTCAGGAGGCCCTGGATCCTGGCATCTCATGCCTTCTGCCTCCTCTCAGAGACAGGTGTCCTCTGTTTTCTCTGAGATTGGAGGCATTTCCCTGGCCATGCCCCAGTGCCTTCTTTGGATCTGCCTGGCTATATGGGAGGCCAGAGGGGACCTCCCGTTCATTGCAGAGAACGATGCCGTCCTGATGGTGAACTGGTAAGAAGCTGTGGGTTAGGGGGTTGAGGGTTGGAGGGTGTGAAGCCTGCTGGGCCAGGCTTCCTGCTTCTTGAATTTGTATCTCCCTGGGTGAAGAGGAGGTGGAGGTCGAGTTGAGCTGACTGGCAGACCTTTGGCCGCAGTGTAAGGAGCGAGTAGTATGGACAGGGAGCCAGGCTGTACTGCCAACGTGAGAATAGGCCTGGGACCTACCAGGGGGCTCACCTGCAGGGAATGGTCTGCCAGCTGCACAGCCAAAGTGCTAGGACTCTGGTGGCCAACAGCACAGCTGCAGGTCTCACTGTTGGGGCCGAAGCTCCCCCGCTCATGAGGCCAGCCGCAGAGGCTTCCTGGAGCCTTGACTCAAAACAGTGGGGGAGCCATACAAATCAAGCAGGGTAAAATATACCCTCTTGCAGAAAAGCAACCCAAATTCTCAGCAGTGTTTGAAACCCAGTGGTAGCTGGGTGCTCTTCTTAGTAGCCCAAGGCAGGTGAGAGCAGGCCCAACCCCAGAGAAATGGGGATGGGGGAAGGTATATGCTCAGAGCAAGGACGGAGTTTCCACCAAAGATCCAATTCTGCCTCTCAGCACCTGAACATGAAATGCTGTTCTATTTCTTCACAGTAGAAATCGAAGTGACTCCCCTAATTCCTTTGGTGGCAATAGTGGTTGTTCTTTCCATTTTGCCTTAATTTTTAGTAGCAAAAGCAGGTATTTTTTTTTAAGACAGTCTTTTTTCAGTCGGGCTCGGTGGCTCAGCCTGTAATCCCACGCCTTTGGGAGGCTGAGGTGAGTGGATTGCCTGAGCCCGCAGGTTCGAGATTCGCCTGGTCAGGCGAGACCTCATCTCTACAATAAATCAAAAAAAATTAGCTGGGCGTGGTAGCGCGTGCCTGTAGTTCCAGCTACGTGGAAGGCTGAGGCGGAAGGATCGCCAGAGCCCAGCAGGTCGAGGCTGCGGTGGCTGGGAGCGGCCACTACACTCCAGTCTGGGCGACAGAGTGAGACGCCAACTCAAAAAAAAAAAAGATAGTCTTTTTCAGAATGCAAATAGAGGTAGAAAACCCAGTTATAAAATCTCAAGAAACTATATGAAACAACTCCAAATTCCAGTATCCTGTGTGAGCACCAGAATTCTTTACCCATGTCTGTGCCACACCACCTTCCCCTCGTTTGCATAAAACTGGCCCGTTTCCTCTGCCTTTCCCTTTGTCGTGGTAACCAAATGCCAAAGCTGTCCTCCCAGGTGCTCACAGCCTCATGGGTGCCAAGCCTAGGCCTAGGGAGGGCCCTGACTAAGTGTGTGCCTGTGGGACAGCCACACAGCTCATGTCCCCTGTGCTCTGGCAGCTGCAAGGGTGCAGGTGTTCACAGCCAGCCACACTCACCAGGGACTCCCCTGAGGATATGCTCTGAGGCTTGGGGCTTTTTCTGACCTCAGGTCTCCCTCCCTCCTTCTAGCCTTCTTTCCTCTGCTGTGGAGACACTTTGGAGGCCGAAAATATTCCCCACTTCCCACTCACAGCACTGGCCGGGGATCTTGACAGCAAGGGCTGAGCCTGTCACATGGTCACACAGTTTGCAGGCTCCGAGGTGGACCACTACCTGTTCCTGCAGACGCCCCACCAACTCTGTGTCGAGGCAGTAGGCTGGGTTTGTGCTGCGTTGCCCTTGCAGGCCCCACCAGCGTTCTCGGGTGGCTGTGCTCCGCTTCCTTTTTGGTCCTGCCCAGCCCTTCAGTGTGTGCAGCTCCGTGGTGCCTGCCCACGCCAACCCCAGCGAAATCTCTGCAGTGTTCAGAGCAGGAAGCAGGGGGGCAGGGAACTGGTGTATTTAGGAAGCTGTCTACCTTTCTCAAAGAGATTGCCCATGTGTCTTGGAGCTTGGGGCAGGGGAGTTACGTAAGCAGGTGCAGGCGGCTTCTGGGCAGTCCCTCCTCCCACGGTGGCAAATGCACTGCAGATTAACATCTGGCCTCACCCTTAATGCTGCCGCCACCACAGCTGGTGCCTCTGTGTGCAGCTGCAGGGAGCGCTGGGTGGGGAGGAGCGGAGGACTCCTTCCGGTCAGCACTCACACAGCTGTGGCCATGTCACCAAGGAGAGTGCAGCCAGGACAGTGTGCTTGGCTGGGACACCCCCCCGCTGCATATTCTCTGTGTCCCTGGCAGCACAGCCCTCACCTGTGCTGGTGCTGATGTTCTCCGTGCCCACCGTCTGCCCCATCAGGTGGTACTGGTTTAGTCTGGAGCCGTCTTCTGCCACCACCACAGACTTGGTGGAGCCATTGGTCCACACGTAGACAACTTCAGAATTAGGATACGCATCTGTGTGGGAGGGGCAGGGAGAGACGTAAGCACTAAGTCATTCCTGCCTGGAAGGTGCAAAGATGTGCATTCAAGAAGCAACAGGGAAGGTGGAGGAGATTGGAAAGTTAAAAGACCCAAAGAGGGCAACGGCTGGTCAGGCAAGGGCAGATGCCACTGCGGTCCAAGTTCCCTATTCCTGGGCACTCAGAGCCGTCCCCGTGCTTCTCGGTGCATGTCTTCTCTGCAGAGTGCACACCGGCAAAGCAAGCCACGGCACAGGCTCTCTGGAGCACCTGTGTCCCCTCCAGTCCTGACTTTGGCAAGTCACTAATTCTCTGTGCCTCAGTCCCTTCATCCATAGCACGAGGAAGTAACAGTACCTGCGTCTAGAGGCTGTGGCTACTACCTGGCCTGCATCAAGATGTGTATGTGTGGAGTACTCGAAGCAGCCCAGCCCCATTCCCTGCTCCAACCTTCCACTCTGCAGCAGGCTCTGCTGTCCACACTGTCCTGGGGGAAGGCTGGCATGGTGGGCAGAGCCTGCTCCCTGGTGTCACACCTGTGGCTATGTTACCTTGGTAGGAAAAGGCACTGTGCAGGCAGAATTAAGGTTATGGACCTTAACATCAGGAGACTATTCAAGATCTCCCGGGGGTTCCATCTAATCACTTGGACCCTCAAAATTTTTCATGAAGAAAGGCTTCACTCACCACTGCTGGCTTGAAGATGGGACAAGGAGGGCCATAAGCCAAGGGGGTTAGGTAGCCTCTAGAGCTGGGAACACCCCCAGAAGACAGCCAGCCAGCAAGAATCCAGAGACCTCCACCCACAGCCACTGGGAAAGGAATCTGCCAAAGACCTGAGGGAGTCGGGAAGCAGATTCACCCCTGGGGCCACCAATGTGGCCTGGCCATGCTGAGATTTTGTCCCCGTGGACCCAGTGCAAAGAACCAGGCCAAGGCCCCAGGACTCCCGCCTGTAGAACTGTGAAACAGCAGACATGTTGCTTTCAACTGCTAGGTTTGTGATTATTCATCACGGGGTCAATAGAAAATTAGGACAGGGAGGATAGAGAACAAAAAGAAGTCCTTCTCCTCCAGAAACTCACGCTGTAGAGGAGACAGACATGGCATGTGACGCGAGACGGCAGCAAGTGTGGTGGAGAAACACAAGCTGAAATGAGGAATGAGGCACAACTGAATGGGAGGACCCTAGAGACCTGAGGGATGTGCGCAGCTGGTGTGGCTGCAGACTGCCCCAGACAAGGGGGGCACAGATGCAGAGGCTCTGGGGTGCAGCATGCCCAGATGCCCAGAGCAGCCAGCAGGCAGGGAGGCTGGACAGCGAAGAGGGTGGAGGGAGGGCCAGATAAAGCGAGTCTTAGGGCCATTTTAAGGCTCTGGAAGTTTCTTCTGAGTGAGCCCAGGAAACCCTGGAGAGGGGTTTAAGCAAATAAGTGACATATGCTAATTTATGTTGTAAATCCCGTCACTGCAGCAGGATGCAGGTGGGAAAGGGACAGAAATGGACGCGCAGTAACATAATAATCCAAGTGAGAGGTGGTGGGAAGTAGGGGAGAGAGGAGAAACTGGGAACACATTTTTAAGGCAAAGCTTGTCTGACAGGAGCTGGCTATGAGCTAGAGTGGAAGGACACGGGTCTGGGCATCTGGGGATTGTCTGTACTGACTGGGAAGGCAGGACCCAGGCAGCCCCAGCTTTGGGTCAAGCACAGCTTGCACGGGGTCTGCTTGGGGCACTGAGCAGACCCTGGCTGTGCAGGGCTGGAGTTCACAAAGCGGTCCCCAGCATGCAGGGCATGCAGATGTCACTGAGGAGTGGGTGGCCTCTGAACCGGGAGGTCACCCTAAGAGTGAGCGCTGGTGACAAAAAGAGGGGGCGGGGCAGAGCTTTCCAGAGCGCTCAGGGTATAGTGTCAGAAGGGATAAGGAGGGACGAGCCAAGATCAGGCTGCGGCCAATGAGTGGGGCCTGTGTCATGGGCTGCAGTGATAGCTGAGGGGTCACGGGATCCAACCAGAGCACCCAGGCGGGAGCTGGTGTGTTCCTGCTGTCTCTTCAGGCCCCTGGAGACAAGTGGCATACCTGCTCCTGTCCTTGGCCCACCCTTGAACCCCACTGATGCCAGGTCAGCCCTGCGCCAGAGCACGCTGTATGCTTTCGTCCTGGCTGTGTCTGCAGGGAATGACTCTGACGCTAGGTGCAGCAGAGCCGTGTGCCCTCATGGGAGGGACATCTGGAGCTTGAGCCGGAAAGAGCTCTCAGGGCAGCCTCCCTCCTGGGATGTGCCAGGACGACCCTCAGTGGGGGCTGCAGTGGCTGTCCTGCTGAGTCTCCAGGCAAAGGTCCGCGCAGGGAGAAGCAGAGGGTCTCCTGAACAAGATTCTTACACAAAGTGCGGGTGTCTCTTTACCAATGTGCATCCCTACTCTTATTCCTGTTTTCGGTGCAAGAAGTATTGGTAACAGTTTAAAAAGCACACTTCATTTAACTGTACTTTTTTTCACTTGTATCATGTTATTTTTCACAATAGACATAATTTTGAAGTAAAGTGACAAAGCTTGTATGGAGCAAAGACAAGCCCCCCTCTGGAATGACTCACCAAGAACTCACTTTCCTCGCCGCAAAATTTACTTTCTGAATTTTATGCTGCCATTGTTTGTTCAGGGCAAGATCACTAAATGGCTCGCTGTTTGGCTTTGCCTGTTAGTCTTCTGTGAAATTTGTTTGTGTTTTCTAGGTCTGTTTGACTCCTGCGTTTTCTTTATAAGTTCTCATACACCTATTTTTTTGCTCCACATGTTGCAAAAATATTCAAGTGTGTGGCTAATTCTCTTTGGACATAGTGGATTTTTTTTAGAAACATATATATTGTAACATAGTTAAATTTATCAAAATTTCATCATAGTTTACTGTTCCCGTCTTATTCCTTCCCATGACACAAAAATTGACCGTCTTTCCCGGTCAAGGTTTCTTCCCTGGAGATGTCTTCTATGAACACTCTGGAACTTCCAGAGCTGATGGTGTTGTTTTTCCACATGGCATTCAGGTGTGGCCACACTGTTGTCAAGCTGTGCACCTCTAGACACACATCAGGGCCTGCTGCTCTGCCAGGCAAGGGTCTACCATGGACAGGCTTCCTCCACCCTGGGCCTCTGTTCTGCTCCCTCTTTCTAACCCTACTTCCATCTCAGTCTTTGTCCTGATGCACACTCCAGGGAAGCACCCAATGTGGTAAGGCAAGGCTCTCCCCTTCTCTTCTTCAGGGGTTCTGGCTAATCCTGGCCCTCCATTCACCCACTTGCATGTTAGAGGCAGTTCGTCAGGACTCATTTAAAAACCTTCATGCAATTTATACTGAACCTGAATGGGATTCACAGGTTACAGGTTATGACCTGGGGAAACATGGCAACAGATGTGGAGTCTTTTAATCATGGACACAATGTGTCTCCTCTGGTGTTCATGTTTTCCATGTTGAAATATCTTTGAATGGAGTTGTTTAACTTTCTGCCTAAATTCCCACACGTTTTTTTGCCATGTGTTCTCCCCAGATGTGTGCTCTTCCCCACTCTCTTCAGTAGCCTGTGCATCCTGCCCAGAGGACAGTCACATGAGAGGCCAACTGAGAACACTGCCAGATAGGGAGGGTCGGAACCCGGGGAATATGACCTGGGACCTGAGCCAGGTATTGATCTGCATGCGAGTTAGGTACTCTAGAGAACAAACAGGGAAAGCCCTATAGAGCGCCTGGTGAGCGCCCCCAGGAGCCACGCACACACTGCAGGTGGATGCTGAGTGGCATTCCGGTCAAGTTGGTTTTGTAACTAGCAAGCCCTTCTGGTTTTGCGCTTAGCTGACGTAGATGTGGGCGTTCACAGGGATAGCCCCGGGCGCCCCCGAGGCAAGTGTTGTGATGTCCCTTCTCTCCACGCAGCTCCAGGGACGGGGGACTGATGCTGCTCTCCTCCTTGGCAAGCGGCTTCTGAATGCCTGGTCACAGGCTCTGCCAGGCATTTCCTGCAACTCTGCAGGCTCCAAGTTCCACACGACATGAGAGCCCTGTCTTTTCCTTTTGTGTAAATGTTGCAAAGCTCTGGATATGAAGGGCCATGGCACCCAGATATGGATTTTCACAGAGCAGCCACGCTGGACTTGGGCTGAGCTGCCACAGTACAGGAGTGGGAGATCTAGTGAGGTCACCTTGCTTCCCGCTGTCTCCAGCCTGGCTCGGGAAGGTTCTGTCCTGTTGTTCAGTGCACCTGCCAGCACTTCCTTCCTGGTTCGCTTGCTTTGCACTGGGACGTCAGCCTGTGCTGTGCAGAGGGCTGTAGCCATCCCATTCACAATGCCCATCTCCTTCCCTAATCCAAGGGGAACTGTGAGTCTGACCTCCAGCCCAGAGAAGGAAGATGGGCCCCCACACTCTTGGAAGATGTCAGTAGGGTGGGAAACATGAATCCAGAAGCTCACAAATGAGTTCAGAGCTTGGGGCAGTAGGTCGTGGGGCCTGGAACCGTTCTGGGAATCAAGCAGCATCTGGTAATGCAGACATTCCTCTAAAGAGCAAGCAGAGCACAGAAAATGCTTTCCTCATGAGTGCATGCTCAGTGACAAACCTGCTCAAGGAAAAAAGGGAAAGGGGTGGGGAGCTCAGAGGTGCAGAGGAGAGGGCAGCCTTCAAGTCCATAGTGCTCTGGGGAGTGGCAGAGGCCACGGTGCAGCTGCCTCCTCCAGAGGCCTGGAGGGAGGCTGAGTGAGGATAAAAAGATGCAGCGAGAGGCCTGGGATCTCGGAGGGAGACCAAGTGAAGACAGCAAGATGCAGCAGGAGTAGAGCAGCCTAGAGTCTTGGAGCTGCTGAGGTAGGGGGATGTAAGGCTGGGTTGGCCCGCCCGGCCTGGGTGCTGGCCCCACCCACACCCCCACACCAGGGGTGGGCATGGCACAGTCACTGTGGCTCTTCCTCCAGCTCTGGGGATGAGTGGCATGTTGACCAGGGA